AAAAAAAAAAAAAAAAAAAAACTGTGCCGAATTTATAGTCGCTTTAGTTACTGTGAATTTTCTCAAAGAGCAACCAGTAAAAGTGTAAGTGCAATCTGTGTTGTTGGGGGCAGGGGATCCATGAGGAGTCCTCACCTTGGAAAGACGGGGGACCGGTGTCGTACAGCCTAAGAGGAGCCCCCGTTCCATAAGTGAAGACACAGCCTTCTGGTTTGGCAGAGGAACCAACGGGTAAACTTGAACCCAAGTCAGCCAAGTTTCAGGTCCACTGCCCTTGCTTTCACCTCAGAGCTACCTCTGAGTGTTCAGTCTTGCACCTCCCAGGGCCTCCAGGGAGCCCTTTAGGTGGAGATCTTTGTGAACAGCTGCCGTGTACTGCACACCTCCAGAGGGCGCCACCCACAATAAGCACTTACAGAAGTTGTCTTGTTCTGGAACTGCCCTGGGAGTTCTTCGAAAGGGAGCATTATGTGGCTGTATTTATATTCCCAGCGCCCTGCCCAGGCCTGGTACCCAGTAGATGTTCAGGAAGTGAAGAATGAATTGAACCTCCCAATCCATGTGCCTTTCTGCTTCCCTTTCTTCCTCCCACTTCCTCCTGGGCACCCACCTGCATGGAGCTGGAACAGACTCTGAACTTAGCCAAGACTTAACCCACTTCCTTCTCTCTTCCTTTCTCTGTGGGTCACTCTGACCCAGAACTACCGAAGGTAATCTTTCTCTGCACTGCCCCTCCCCTCTCCCAGCCTGGGCTGCATACCTCCAGGGAGCCCTTCCAGACCTCACAGGCAGCTCTGCGTCGCCTTGGGTCACTGCTTTCATCTCTGTTCAGGGCTTGGACAGAGCCTGGGAGACAGGGGTTTTTGTTTCCTCTGATGTCTCCACCCCCTTGCCAAGTCCAGAAGGGACTCCAGAGCTTCGTGGAAGTTGGAGCTGAGCTGGAGGGGAGTGGCAGGCCGAGACTCAGCCACTCTAGATGGATCTCCTCCCAGGGGAGGCGCTCTTGCTCTTGGAGTTGTAGGGTGCTGGGCATGAATGGAGGGGCAGGTGTCCAGACCCTGTGGGCCCTGTCCCCATCCTGAGGTAATGGTCATGGGAGAGAGGATGCATGTGGACAGGAGGGAGTGCAGGTAAGAGCGAGGCCAGTATGAGCTTGAGGAACAGTGTGCTAGAGGGTGAGAGAGACAGAGAGAGACACAGAGGGGGAGAGAGAGAGAGAGAGAGTGTGTGTGTGTGTGAGAGAGAGAGAGAGAGAGAGAGAGAGAGAGACCCTGGAGGAGAGCAGGGGAAGTCATGAGGTTAGGGCTTCAGAGGGCAGGAAAAGCCGAGGTGCAGAGGGTAGATAATGACCGAGCTCCCTTGCTCTGCGCTCTCTGCTCACTGGCTGATTCTTGCTAATCCTGGGGTGAGCTGGGTGTTGGGGGAGACAACAGCCCCTCCCGCAACAAAACTATTTTTAACTCATTTGGGCCAAGGCCAAATTACTGCAAAGAGGCTGGGATTCTGGGGGGCAAGCCCACTTCCCAGGGAGAGGGAGCACTCATTACCCATCTGAGGGTGCACAGGGATGGACAGGAGCAGAGAGGAAGGAGTCCCTCGGGGGACGAACTCTGGCCAAGACGCTGCAGCCCTCAATCCCATCACATCTCAGCCCTTGTGTTACATGTCCTGTGTTCCCCGACTTTGATCTCATGTGTCTGTGGGAAGAAACAGCATCTTCCCCATCAGACAGGAGGATCTAGCCTGTGTGTCCCACATTAAACTGGGGACTCTCCAGTGACAGGCTCCCCGCTTCAGACTGAGTGCAGGAGCTATGTCTCCCCTATCAGACTGGGGGCTTGAGAGCATCATACTGACCCCTGAGAGGTGGGAGCAGGAGGGGCTCTTAGGGCACTGATGGAGCGCCCTCTCTGGCCAAGCAGCTGCAAGTTTCTCTCCCCATCCGCCTTCACTGCTGTATCTCAGGTGACAGATACAGGTCGTCGCCTTCACACCCAGCCTTAGAGATCTCACCTGCCACACTCAGTTCCCAGGCCCCTATCTCTCCCCTACATGCCTTCCTCCCCTTGTCAGGAGCTACCCCAGTTTCTACCGCCCTGCTCCTGGCACCCTCCTCATGGAAAAACAGGACAGCAGGAAATGGAAGGAAGAAGCTCCTGGCCCAGACCGCCCAGACCTTCCCCCAGCTTTGACCAGGTGTGGGGCAGGGGGAGTGGGGTGGGGGAGGGCAAGTGGCTGTTGTCCTCCTGGAGCCCCAGGCAGCCTCACAAAGACCCCTAGGACCCTGGGCCAGGTGGTGGGGCCCCTCAGGACCTCCCCCCTTCGTCAGGCGCCTCTTCCCACCTCAAGATGCTCAGGCCCAGGGTGCTAAATACACTAACGACCTGAATGACTCACATTAGAAAACACTGCCAATTCGATGGAAAAAATCTCAACTGCACTACACGACCGAGGGTTGCGCACGTGCACCTGAACACACATTCCATTTCCTGGCTTCCTGGCCCACACCTGAATGCTATTTTCCACCATCGAGACTGGGAAGGGTCAGGTGAACGGCAGCGGACGGCTAAATTTGGGCACTTCCCGATTGCTTACATTATGAGAGAAAGTTCTGAGTCTCTCAGAACCTGGGAGAGACCTAGAGAGAAAAGAACGCTACATAGCCTTTATGAGCGCTTACCATAGGCCAGGCATTATGCTAAAGAACTTTACTGAATCTTCTCAACAACCCTACAGTGTTGCCACTATGATCTCCATTTTCTAGATAAGAGACCTGAGGCTTGCAAAGTCATAAAGCCTAGTAGCAGTGGAGTTGCTGAAACTGGGCCCTGGCCTCCTGGACGGTAAAGTCCAGGCTACTGACCATTAGGCTATATGCTGCGTTCCAAGATGATCAGGAAAGGGAGGAAGGAGAGACAGGAAGGTAGCAGAAGGGAAAGATGAGGAGGAGAAGGAGGAGGAGGAGGAGGAGGTAGGGGAGGAGGCGAAGGAGGGGGAGGAGGAGGGGCAGGAGGAGAGGGGGCTGAGGAGCTTTACAGTAGCCTGGGCATCACCACCCTTGCCCTGGGAGGGGAGAGGAAGGTGCCAGACATATGTGGGGGATCGGAGCTGTTAAGAAGCTGGCTCAAGGTCACAGAGCAGAGATTCAAACCTGCTTTTGGCACCTCAGCCTGCTGAGCTGGCACCTTCGGAGGAGCCAGAGTGCAAATGGCAGAGCTGGCAGGAAGGAAGGCTCCCTCCACTGCAAGTCTTTCCACCCTTCATTGACTTATCCTTTCATTCATTCTTTCCATGAATAATTCAGGGATCTCAAATTTTCATCTAGAAACAATAATCTTCACTGTGATTGATAAAGCAACTGAGCTGAGGAAGATTAGAGACCGAAGCACCCTGCTCTGGAAAGGGGCTCTTTCTACCCCGAACCAGCTGTGAGGCACACAGACCCTGTGGCATCTTCCCCAGGGAAGTTCACTGGGTGCCTGTGCTGGGCTGGGCCACAGTGAGGGCCAGTGGTTGGGCTGCGGGATTAGAACTAGGGATGGCCTTGAGGTCAGGATCGAGGCTGGGGTCAGGGTCAGATGAGGGCTGGGGTTGGTAGTTCATTTTCTGTCAGGACTGTGGACACTGCTTGGGACAGGATGAGGGGCAGGGTTCAAGTCTCGGGGGTGGGATCGGCATTAGGGTTAGGACTGGGGTCAGCATCCGAGCTGGTCATGTGGTCAGAATCACCAGCTGACTCAGAATCAGGAGGAAAACAGAAATCCAGCATTTCCGGCTCTTCCCTCTTTGCCCATTGCCGTCCCCAGCTGTCCCCGGCCACCTCACTCTCGTGGGGGAATTTAGGGACCAAACTTTCCACCACCCACGGGCACACCCTGCAGCAGCCTTCCCGCCCGACCCTCGGGGAGGGAACCACAGGCACCGGGCCGTGGAGCGGACTTGAGGTTGCGGGCCAGGGGAGGAGGAAGTCACTCTGCAACAACCCACTGCTGTACCACTTCCTTTTAGGCGCCTTAAGCCCCTCCACTCTCCTCAACCAGCTATGACTTGCGGTCCCCAGAGCCCGGCTCTTCATGGCAGCCCCTGCCATGCTCCCAGCACAGCTAAAAGTTCACAGTGTCAAGAAAGCCTCCCCAGACACAGCCAAGCTGAGCAGCTCACAGTGGGACTGGGAACCAAGGTGGGGGGCCGGGGGGGGGGTGGGGGTGGGGGAGGCAGGCATCCCAACTTGCCCCGGACCGTCCTGGCTCCCACTAGCGGCCCTGGCAGAATTACTAAGATTCTGACATTTTAACATACTGAAATTTCCACTTTCAAAATTGAGCAGGTTGGGCCAGTAATTCACTGGTCACCCCTCCCAGAAGGGCCCTCCTACCTGAGGAAGAACCTAAACCAGAGAAACACCACAGAGGTACTATCGCCCCATCTGCTGAGGGCTTGCGGGGTATTCGCACTTAACTTCACGCTGAACTTCTCCAAGTACTTCACTTCTTTGTACCTCAGTTTGCTCAGCACTAAAAGGGGACAGAACTGTCACCACATCTTCTGTGAGAAGGAAATGAGATGGTGTAGGTGAACCGCCTTCCGTGGTGTCTGGCATACGGACGAAGAGTTGGGAATATGCCCAAGAGAAAGAAAGAAACCCGCCTTGATCCTTCTTTGGAGACGCCAACCAGCTCAATGGCTTTGGTTTAAGAACGAGGAGGAGAGGATGTGCAGTTTCCCTTCGAGGGAGACAGTGTGGGTAAGAGCTGCTCTCTGCCTTCCTAGCAAAGGAAGAGGCAGAGGCCGATTCAAAGCCCACCAATCCCTCAGACCACAATCAGGTGGGAGTGGTGGGCCTCACCTTCCGAGCCCCTCCCCACCCTCGGGGAGTCCCAAGGCTGCAAGTGCTCAGGGGTTAATTCCTGTGAGCACCCCTGCCTTGGCTGAAGGAAATTTGAAAGAAAGGAAGTAGGGAGGGTGAGAAGCGTGAAGGGGGAGGCCCTGGGTCTGCTGGTTCTGGGGCATGAAGTTAAGCTCAGGGTACACGGGGGTCTCCGACTTCCGTCCTGACCCACCCCACACTGCCCTTGACCTCTGTGCAGAGTTTCCATCCTCTCTCTCCGAGTTCACACTTCTCCCCCACCACTAACCGCAGCCCACGCAGAGGCTTGTGGGCGGAGAGAGGGGTGGGGGGGGCGGAAAAGGGCCAGGGCTGCAACACTGAGCCCCCCACGTTGGGGAAAAAAAGCAAGTCCTATCGTTCTCTCCCTCATCACTCATACTAAGCCCCCGTCTTCTCACAGGGGGGCTCCCCTCCTTCACTGGGCCCTCACCCCCTTCACTGGGTCAGCCCGCCTGAGCCCTCAGCCCCCTTAAGGAACCCCCTCTCCACAATTTCCCCTCCACCCTCAGCACTAGCCACACCCTCAGAAAGGCCACACTCAGGACCTGTGACTCTGAGCTGGGCTCAGAGGGGAGGGGGCCGTGGGTTCTGCACCCCCCCACCTCGGCTGAGACCCCCCAGGGTCCTTACCTCCCTGCACATCCTAAGGAGCAGGCTGGTCTCCACTGCCTCTCCTCCCTCATCCTTGCTTTTGGCCCCTGACTGGCCTCCAGCAGCTCTTCTTCTGGGACAATCTGTGTCCCCTGGGCACCAGCCACCAGGTGCTGGGCTGAGCAAACAGCAGGGCAATCTTGCCCAGAGGTCAGCCATGGAAGGTGGCAGAGTGGCCTGGTCGGGGTGCCCACTTTCGGAGGAACACGGATGACTGGAGCTGGTGGGCTGGGGGCTGGGATGGAAGGGACTGGAATCCTTGGGGCCAGGGCTGCCTCCCAGGCCTGTCCACTTAGTACCAGTAGGACCACTGTGCAGTGGGGAGGGGATTAACAGGGGCAAGGGCACTACGAGGCGGGGGCCTTTGAACAGCCAGGACTCCCACAATAAAACTGGCTGCCCTGGAGGTGTCCAGACTGAGACAGGTAAGCACTTTCAGGAACACACACGACTCCCACATTAGGGGTGGCCTGGATTCAGGAATTTCTCTGACCCCCTCTTCAGCTTTCTTACCCCGATCTGGATAACCCAGCCCTGCATTCCTCTCTTGGGAGAGCCCACAGGTAAAATTCCCACTCGCCTGGAGGGTCTGGACCAAGTGGAAGAAAGAGGAGGGGCTGGTGGGGGAAAGTGAGCTGAGAGCAGGTGACTGAGGCCTCAGGTGGGAGGACAGGGGAGGGAACACTCGGGAAGCAATTACCAAAAGGAGCTGAGTTTATAAGAAAATAAAACTGCCGGGGGAGTGAGGACTTCCTCTGAGAATTAACTCTTGCCAAGCTGGGGCTGTCCAGAGATGCTCCGCCTGAAAAGTGTGAGGCGGGGCAGGCAGAGCCTGACTGGCACCGGGGAGAGAGGTCCAGGAGGCACCCACGCAGAGTCCCAACGGTGAGGACGGAGGGGAGGAGCTGGAGGTCACTTCTGGTAAGAGTGGTCTGGCCAGCCCCTGGGCAAAGCCACTATGGCCAAAGGAACTGGGTGGAGCAGGTGCCTTAGGGGTGGGAAGGGAAAGAGGCTGTTCTGGCCCCAATGGCAGCGTGGATGATCCAACCTCCAAAGGCACCTCATGGGAGTTCTCCTTCACTCACTCACTCACATACAGCTTTGGTCCCTTGGGGTCCTCCACTCCTTCTCTGGCCCCCCACCCCCCCTACGCCTTCCTCTCACACCTCTCATTAATGACTGACCTCTGAGCCCATGAAGGATACCTGCGGCCACAGAGGTGAAGTCATTAAAGCAAAGCCAGTCTGCATCCCTGGAAGGATTCAAAGTCTGGCTGTTCAGATTCCAGCCCTGCCAAAAAAGTCCTCTCTCTGGGTTCAACCGGTTGGAGGGAGCCTTCACTGCCGGTCTGCTAAGAGGGGGCTGGACTCAGTGACCCATAAAGAGCCCTACAGTATAACTTCTGAGGCAAGCTAGGGTTCTAGAATGTGTGTGTGTGTGTGTGTGTGTGTGTGTGTGTTCTGGGTCTGGGCACATGGGCTAGGATGGGCTCTGAACCTCAGCCACGAGCTAAGGCAGACCCTCTCCACAGGAGCCCTCAACACTCCCCAGCAGCCTAGCTGAGGGATCCCACCCACCACTCCCACAAACTGGTTCTCACCGCCCCCCACCCCAACTATCACAGCTCCACCCAGGCCTCACCCCAGGGTGCAGAGGGAGGTGAGGGGTATCCCCAAGTAGCCAGAAGCTGGGAGGAAGGTGAGAAGGAAGCCCGCTGGAAGGAGGACCCTGGGGTCCCATAGCTGGGTATACTGTGTGACACAGGGTTAGTTCCTGTCCCTCTCTGGGCCTCATGCTTCCTCTCCAACGAAAGTAGGGAGTCTGTGCCACACAACTGGTCTCAGGGGAGAGGGCTTAGGCGGAAGGAGGTTTGCTCTCTATTTCTCAGAAAGTGGGAGAGGAGGAGTTCAGGGTGCGGATGTGAAAAGCATCAGGCTCACTGATGTCAGGCTGCCGCTCACCCTCTCGCTTGCTGCCCAGTGCTGCCCCAGAGGCCACTGCCATTAGACTCCCCACTGACATAGCTCCCTCCCTCCTTCCTGCTGCCCTTCCTTCTCAGCAAGATTCTACAGGGGCCACCCAGTGGAGCCTGTCCTAACCCCCGTCTCGGCTGCTGTAGAACTCCGGTAAGCCCCTCTTCTCGGCCTCAGCTTTCTCCTGAGGTGGGAAACAAAGCACAGACCCTGAAAGACGCCACCTCCTTCCTCCTCATCAGTGAGGGGGCAGTTAACCCAACTAACTGGCCTTGTTACTGGCACAGAAAAAATGGGGCTTCAGAGAGGCCCAGAAACTCACCAGGGGACCCAGATCATAGCAGCAAAGCAGCTGAGGAAATGCCTCAACCCCTGACACCTCAAGGAGACACGAGCTTGGGTGTCAGAAGAAAGTGGGGGGCACATCCCAGAACCTCGCCTCCTTCCTGTGAAGGATGAAGAGTCACACAAGCAAGCCAAACCCCACAGGCCTGATGCTGGAAGAAGGGCCCTCCAAACAACAGAGGGGAGAACTGACCCAAAACGGGGACCTGGGAAATGCCACCCTCAGGGCACAGAGGTTAAGATGGAGAGGATTTCAGATGTGACTTACTGATCATCCCCGACTCTTTTCACCCACGCCATGTCCCGCTCTGACTGGTTGGAGGCGAGATCCTAGGGAGGAAGACCAGGAGGTCAGACGCCGATGTCACCTTGCCCAGACCCCCCTCTTTACCATTCCCACAGCCAGTCAAAACCCAGGAAGGACGTCCTGGGACTCTAACGGCTATTTCCAGCAGCTCTCAGACCTCCGGGGAGCGCTGGGCGGGGTCCTTTACCTGGGCCCGACTCTCCTGCAGCTGCTTCAGCTCTCCCTGCAGCCGCTCGCACTCGGCCTGGAGCTGCTCTTCCCGAAGCTGAGCCCCCCGGGCCTCACCCTGGGCAGCCTCCAGAGCCTCTTCCAAACGCCGTCGCTCCAGCTCACTCACACTGGGTGTGGGGCCCGGCCAGCCTGCTGGCAGGAGAGAGGACAATGTCAGGTTGGGTCCAGCTGCTGGCACCCTCCACCGACTCCCAGGTCAGCAAAGACTGAAACCGGTGAGGACCGCCCCATCAGAGATCCAGAAGATAGCCAGAGGACAAATACCCCGGGGAGGCCTCTACTGAGGGCAGTGTGGGAGGATGGCCTGAGCTGCTTTTTTCTCATCTTCTAGGACACCAAGGACAAAATAAGATGGCCTCCTGAAAGGATTCCCTGGCCACATTCAAATCTCCAAGCATCCTCTGGCCTCCGCTAATCACCACTGTAAGACCGGCTGGGGGACTCTGAGTGGAGGTGCCCTCTGCTGACACACATAGGAATTGCATGGGGGTAGCCAGAGAAAGCAGGTGGTAGAGGGGGGTGTCAGTGGGAGAAACTGCGTAAGAGTAGATGAAGTGAGGGAACGGGTGGCAAAGAGGCATAGGGTAATTATGGGAGAAATTTAATAAGACGTTATAATGGGGTGCTCACCATCAATTCCAGAGTAGTACTGAAATGGGGGTTAGTCTAGGGGACTCTGGGGTAGGGATATCAGGGGTCGCGGAGATCTCACCGTGACTCAAGCCAGATCCCCCTCTCAGTGCCAAGTAGTGCAGGTCCAGATCAGTACAAGGTGGGGCAGGGGCAGGTGGGGGGCTCGGGCTGGGGAAGGCTGCGTCCCGGAGGCCTTGCTGCTGCCGTAGCTGCTGTTCCAAACCACAGATTTGCCGCAAGTGGGTCTCCACCAGGGCCCGCTGCAGGGTGAGACAAAGGGGTAGGGTCTGCACAGGACCAGGGTACCCCTGTGGGCCCCCCAAAGCCAGGACTTCCCCATGTCTGGGAAGCCATCACCCCTAAACGGAGCAGAGGCCCCAGGTCACACATCCCAACTACACTCTCAAGTGGCGATGAGTGTGAGGTCTCCTCTCCCAGCAACTGCAATGCAGATGTTTCTGGCTATTGCCCCTTGCAAGGTCAGAGTTAACGCCTCTTCCTTGTGGGACACTTCTAAGAACACACAGCCCCTCAGTCCAGACATAGCTACGCCTTCAGAAGCATAATAAGTTCTATTTGCACATGTGACAACCACTCTGGGCTTCACCTACCTCATCTATAACACGGGGATAACCACACTTACCTCTTAGGTTTGTTGCAAGGATTAAAATGAGTAAATATATCTAAAGAGATAACAACAGTGCCTGGCACATAGTTAAGTGCTATGTTAAGTGTTTATGATTATTAAGGCGAAGCATTCTTACACAAACGTCCCAACTCAGACGTCACAAACAACAACTCAGCAGTATTGTTATCATTTGCCCTTTTCAGAGGAGGGACAGAGGCTAAGAGACTCGACCCAACTCACAGGTAGGAGCTGGCAGAGACCACGTGTCCTGATTCTGACACCTGCTCACGCGCGTGGCCATACCCCTACTCAGAATCACACACATGCCAGGACCAGTCCCAGCAGCCACAGAGACCTGATTACCTCTACCCTCACCCACACAGCCTTCCAGACGCAGCGTATAGGCACAGACTCGACCCAGCACAAGACACAAACGTTCGCCCGGAGACACGCTGTCGACAGGGTCACTCACATAGTCACCTACTGTCACCGCGTGGCCAGGGTGTCCTGAGGGTCACTCACAACTTGTATGACACACTCAGCCCCCCTCACAAGGGCAAACGGGCACTCAAACCCACTGGGGTCCACACCACAAACACACACACATGGGGTCACACACAATCACACAACAAAGGTCCCAGCCTCAAGCACCCCCGGCTCCCTGGGCCTCACCATCTCCCCCAGCTCTGTCTCCAGGTCGCTCTTCTCCACGCAAAGTTTCTCATAAGCCTGGATCATCTCCCCAAGCTGTTCTTCCTGCTCCTTATTCTTCTGCAACTGAATGGGGCCCAGAGGGGATGGAAAGCACACCGTGGTCAGGCCCATCCTTGACTTGGGGGCCAAGCAGCTCCCCATACCTCCCACCCACACATCCAGCACCCAGTGGAAGAGGGGTGGGAGAGGCTGCAACCCATTCTAGGGAAGACTAGGGCCATCGCTGACCAAGGAGACAGAGGCTGGCGGAGGGGGGGGTGGCGGGTAGACAGAGGGGACTGTCAGAAATACACTGGAGCAAGGGGTCCAGGGAGCCCAGTCTGGGCTGGGAGGCCAGCGAGGGACTCACCTCATGCTGGAACTGGTTGAGCCGTTGCTGCAGGCTGACCTTCTCCATCTCCAGCAGGGAGCCATCCTTGATTTCATACAGAGAGAAGCCATGCTCCTCTCCAAAGTCATTGATCAGCGGGTACTGTGGGCAGGCAGGTCCTCAGGAGAGCTGGTGCCCGGCTCCCTGCCCAGGCTTCAGCCTCGATTGGGCTCCCACCTCACAACCTGCCTTGAAGTCCTCGCCTCTCCCTCCCCTTGCTCAAGTGGGATCCACACGGCCTGGAGGCATCTCCGGCCAACCAGATCTCTTTTAGATGCAAGGTCCCACCCTTTGGCTCAGGATCCTTTCCTGACCCTTCCCATCCAAAGCAGCCACATCCCTCACGGGGGACCCTCAGGTTCCCAAGAGTGTGCATCCTGATCCCTCTTTGCGATTCCTGGGATCCCCAACCCCCACAACACACACACAGCCAGACCCCCATCTTCTCCAAGTTCTGACCTTGATCTCGTAGACTTTGAGACGGCGGCGGAGGGTGGCATTCTCCCTCTCCAGGCCCCCCAGCCGCTCCTTGATGTCCCCATAGGCTGTGATGAGGGCAAAGTGGGAGGCAGAGCACATGTCCCCTCCCAGTGAGGGGTCTCCTGGGGCATCCAGCCACACCTCACTGGGCCCCAGTGCCTCCTGGGTCAGGATGCTGATGTCATCTTCAAACATGGACTCCATGGCAAGGGCCTGGGCCTCGGCCCCCACTGGGCCTCCTGGGAGAGCAGGAGCAACAGTGGAGAGGGCAGCCTGGAGGTTGTCCCCCATACCCCTCAAGCTGGCCCAAGGAATGCTATGACCAGCTGAGAGGAAGCTTGGAAGCTCCCACCCCTGCCTACCCTCAGACTACTCAGCCCTGTTTTCTCTTCTCTGCTGCCTTTGGGGGAAGGGGCTGTAACTAGATGAAGACTTCTGGCAGGGAGGGCCTGACAAGTAGGGACAAGTAAACCAGGCCAGCAGCAGAGAAGAGTTCCTTCCAGAACCCAGGGAGACCTGTGGACAGGAAAGGACTGCCTTCCCAGGCTAGGGCCCAGACAGGGCTGCCTTGATTCACTCCTCAGCCCCTCTCCACCCCAGGCCTTGCTTCCCCAAATACCTCTCTGCCACGCTCCTCATCCCTGGCCTCTGGCACCCCTGGCTCCTCACTAAGGCCCAGTGCTTCTGGGAGAGTCAGCCCCACCACTGTCAGCACGTCCTCTGTGGGGGCCCCCGCCCAACTTCCCAGCTTCTTCCTGCAGGATCCCAGAGTTCAGGAAAAGGAAGTGCCTCCCCCACTCAGACCAGGGTTGTGGCAACCCTCCAGGCCCTCCCAGCCCCTGATCTGGGACCCACAGGAAGTCCTCACAGAGCGCCAGAGGGAACACACAGAGGGTGGGGGGCCCTGGAAAGGGTCCACCGAAGAATTCCCCAGCCCGCCAATGTGCCTGCACACAGGGAAGTGAGGAGCCCTGAGAGGGGGCAGGAATGACTCAGGGCTCCGAAAGAGTACGCGCGAGAGGGTGCGTGTGTACTTCTGGCCCTGTTTATGAATGTGTGTCTGTGGTTGGCATGTGTGGGGGGGAGTGTGTGTGTCTGTGAATGAGTGTAGGTGTGTCACAGTCAATGAGTGCCTTCGCAGGGCTGCGCTGGGGGTGGCTGGGGGTCGGGAATGGAGTTGGAAAGTGGCCAGGAAGCCGTGTGTGTTTGTGTGTGCGCGTGTGTGCACGCGTGCGTGAGCGTGTGTGAAGGGTGGGCACGTTCGGGGCCGTGTGTCACGTGAGGCACTATGGGAATGTCCGAGGTGTGTGCGCGCGCGCCGGAGCGTGTGTGCGCGTAGGAGAGGGGGCTCGGCGTGAGGTCTGAGTCGAGACAGCGGGGTCCGCGACCTCCCAAAGCCGGGCAGCAGGAGCCTGGAGTGAAGGGGGCTCAAGCCCGGGCCCCAGCACCGCCCCCCCCAAACCTCCCCCATTAAGTGCCAGGGAGACGCGTGTGACCGGGTCTGAGTAAGGAGTGTGTGCGCGTGTTTGTAGGGCTGGCCCCACCTTTAACCCCTTCCTCTCCGGGCGCATCCCCTCCCCCCAACTCCGCCCGCCAGCGCTCACCACACCCCCCCCAGACCCCCAGCCCGCCACCTCGGGCCCAGCCCCACTGGCGGGGGCTCTGTCCCCTGGGCCGCCCGGACAGACGCTCCCTTCCTCCGCATTCCCCCCCGGCCCGGCGGCCCCGGGTGAGAGCCGCGGAGGGCGGATGGGGAGGGGGTGCCTCCTCCGCCCCGGGCCCCTACTGCGGCCCCTTTAAGAGCCGCCCTTTAAACCCCTTTAGCTCGGCGGACAGAAATTGTCGCCCCTCCCCTCTCGGGGGCCGAGACCACGCAGCCCCCTCCCCCACCGCTGGCCAAGCCCCGGGCCCCCAGTCGGCGGTCCCCGGGCCGGGGAAGGGGCTCCCGAGGCGGTGCGGCCTGAGCAGCGGCGGCGGAGGGGGAAAAGGGGGAACGCGGCGGGCCGGCGCCGGACCCTTCCCCTCCCGGCCCGCCAGGGCCAACTGCCCGCCAACCTCCCGTCGCCTCCTCCGGCCCACCCTGCGACCCCGGCCGGCCCCGGGCGCCGCTCCCCCCCCCCCCCCCCCCCGGCCCCAGCCCCGCCGGGGACTCACAGCTGCTGCCGGTTCCTGCTTGTAATCGCAGCTTACCCCCTCCGCCTGCTCCCTCCCCAGACGGGCACCGGTGCCCCCACCCCCCTGGCACCGCGCTCCGCTCTCGCCCTGTCGCCGCCGCCGGGTCTCTCCCCACCCCCCACCCCTCCCCCCAGCCCCCCTCCCTCCCGCCCGCCCCGCTCCTCCTCCGCCGCCGCCGCCGCCGCCGCCTCCTCCTCCTCCCCGGCTGCTCCGGGTTTCTCCAGCTGGGAAGGCGCCCGGGACCCCGCCGCTGCCACCACCACGTGGCGAGGGGCGGCCAGCCCCCGCGGTGCGGCGCG